ACCCAGAAAGAATGGCTGCTATCATGAAATCAACCAATAACAAATGCTGGCGGGGCTGTGGAGAAAGAGGAACCCTGCTCCACTGCTAGTGGGAAGACAGGTGCATCCACTGTGGAAATCAGTATGGAGATACCTCAAAGAACTAGGACTGGAAGTCCCATTTGACCCAGCTCTTCTCCTACTGGGTATCTTCCCCAAAGAATTAAAAGAATCATACCACAGTGAGATATGTACACCCATGTTCATAGAAGCACAATTTGTAATAGCTAAAACTTAGAAGCAGCCCAATTGCCCATCAACTGGAGACTGGATAATTAAATTGTGGGTTTTTAATAAAATGTAGTACTACTCAGCCATAAAGAATGAGAAACTAGAGACCTTTATAGCTAAGTGGATGCACATTGAGGCCATTCTCTTAAGTGAAATAAATAGGACCTACATGTGTAAATACCAAATAGTTGCTCTAGTGTGAGAAACTGAAACTGTAAATAAGTACTAAAAGGTATAGTAGATAATGTGAAATAGGAAGAAAAGGGACAAAGGGGAAAGGGAAGGGGAAGGGGAAGTGGGCAAAGGGGAAGGGTACAGGGTAGGGGAGAGAAAAGAAGGGAATGGAATTAATATGAAAAAATGGAAACAAAATTTTGTAAATAGGGAGGGATGGTTGTTTGAAGGGAGGGCAGTGGAGTGGGGCAAAAATAAGAACCAAGAGAGATTATGTAAAAGTGCAAATTTCCAACGATGAATATCATTGTATTGTATACCTAAAATGTACCAATAAAATTCATTTTAAAAAATAAGGTCTCTAACTCCTTGACCCTTATTTTTGACTGAACTGATTAAGCAATTTAATGACTATACAAAGGTCATTTCAAAATAGTTGGTCAGGAAAGCAAAATAATAAGCCAAATATCTATGATATGGTTTGATCTAAAGTATTTCTCAGAAGATTCATGTGGTGAGAAGTGGAACTTTTGGAAAATTAATTGGAGCATGAGGCCACTGATGAGTTTATACCTGAATGTGCTATTACAAAGTGAGGCCCAGTTAGTTGGAGGAAAGGGGTCACTATAGGTGTGTCCTATCCTCAGCCCCTTCTTCTCTTTCTGGCTTTCTTGATCTCACTCTGTTTCTTGGCTGCCATGGGTTGAGCAGGTTTCCACTGCCCCGCCCTTCCACCATGATCTTTCTACTTTGGAGCCAACTAACCATGGACTGATCATTTTGAAATCATGTGCCAAAATGATATAAACTTCTCTCTTAATTTTTTTATACAAGTATTTGTCACAGAGACAAGCAGACAGCTGAATCTACTAGTCAAATAAAATTTTAGATGTAGCTTTTTCTTTAAATATGATGGTAATTAACATCTGAATAAGAGCTCTAAGGACTCTGTAATAGTTCTTCATCTGGTTGACTGTGTGGTTGAATGTAGTGATTATAATATAATCTTAGATGTAATAGAGATTATGACTATAGTTGCCCAATGCTATAGTGCCAACTGAAGAGTGTGTGATGGTGGTGGTGGTGGTAGCTATTGTTGAATCACTCACTGATTTATTCTCAGCTTTTCATTCTGTAACAAGAGTCGCTCCTCTCACTTTCCTTTTTGTTCCGTTTACTGCTCTATTCTTTTTATACTACAAATGTTTTTAAAAGGGGGGGTGGCAATTGCAGTTGTTCCCCACTGTCTGTGAGAGGATGATTCCAGAATGGCCCAAGGATATGAAAATCTGTAGAGGCTTAAATCTTTTATATAAAATGGTGAAGTATCTCCACATAACGCTAAGTCATCACTAAATTTCTTACAATGCCTACTACCATGTTCATGTTATGTAAATAGTTTTTGTACTGCATTGTTTAGGGAACAGTGACAAGAAAAGAGTCTGTACATGTTCAATACAGATGTTTTTCCTCTAATATTTTTTATCTGTGGTTGGTTGAATTCAAGGATGAGGAATCCACAGAAAAGGAAGAGTGACTTTACTGCTTTGTTGTAACTCACTTATGATAAAAGTTTTCACACACTCTCTCCACTTAAAGGCATTCATTGTGCTACTTTTACCCCCTACCCCTGAAGCACATCTTCAGGTAACATATGACTCTCATATGTTTTTTTATTTCTCTTGATAAGCAAAATTAGACTTACTCACAACAGACAGCACACTAGCTCAGAAACTACAGAGGCAACTCCTGAAGAGCTTGAAGTTTTTCAACTACTCTGTTTTCTAGGCATAAGAAGGAAAACAGACATGATAATGAACCAGACCTTGAGCAATACAGGTAACTATTAATAATACTTTTTTTCTAAACAGACTCCACCTTTATTAGATTATTATTGGTTATTAATGGAGAAGGTTTACTTTTAATCTTATCTTCTACATCATTAGAACTATCCACAAAGAATATCTTGGCTGTACATAGTGACACTATAATTCTTCTGTATTCCTTTCTGAAATTTTGGTTCAGTAGTCCATATATAATTGCATTGAGGCAGCTGTTGAAATAAGCCATATAGTAACTAGCCACAAAGAGCCACTCTGGGATCCTGGGCACCATGCTGGCAGGGTCTGAGGCTACAATGAGACCAATGAAGTTCAGAGGAGCCCAGCAAATGGCAAAAAGTACAAAAACCACAAACATGGTGACAAAATTCCTGAAGTCCTGTGGTTTCAGTTTAGGTTTGTTTTCAGGTTTCACCTTCTGTCTGACCTGTAGGACCAGGATCCATATTCTAAGGTAACAGAAAATGACTATGATCATAGGGACTACAAGATGGAAAACTACCACAGCTATTGTATATGCTGAGCTCACAGATTGTGAAAATGTACAGGAATAGATCCGTGGATCATACTGGAGCGTTCCAATTCACAAGTTGGGCACAATTGCCACAAGTGTCAATATCCATATCAGGAACACGTAGCAGAGCGAATTCTTGTCACTGTACAGCTTGTCATACTTGAGACTGTGGCAGATGTAGCAGTAGCGGTTAATAGCGATCCCAGTGATATTGAATACGGAGGAAATGACACTCAAGCCCATCAGGAAGGCACTAATCTGACAATGCAGATATCCCAGGTTCCATCCATTGTTAAATATAGAGGTCAGCACCAAGGGGTATGGATAAACGGCCACCACCAGGTCTGCAACTGCTAGGCTCACCACAAACATATTTCCTAAAACAGAAAGATTTGCAAAATATGTTAACACCAATATTGCATGAATTCCATTGTGTTTTTTCTCAGTTATTAAAGAAGGAATTGCCCCCACAGCTTGAATGCCTTGACATTACAGTACTACCTCGTTATAAATGAACTGGAGGCCATTTTCACCAAGTAAGCCCACTGTTGCCCTTGTCAAGTCCATTCTTCATAAATTTATGCATCCCAGAACAAGGTGTGTTTCATATCCAAAATTATTGTCTTTCAAATTAGTTTCTCTTCTTTAATGAAAAGCCCAAGTTTATCATATTTGTATTATGCCTTTTCTTTTGGAATCTTCTACATTACCTGAGAAATCACACGTCATATCATTTCGCAAAGAGTTACCTGTAAGAAAAAGGGCTCTATTGTCAGCTGTCTGGATTAGAACGGTGGTTTTCTTCTTTACTAGCCATGTAACTAAAGCAAGTTGCTTCACCTTGCCAAGCCTCAGTTTCCTCTCCTATGAGATGGAAATAATGATAGTATCTTTCTCATCAGTTTATAGTGAGCATTAAATGAGGCACTCTGTCACATACTGTATACAATGTCCAGTGTCACATGGATGTTGTTCATATTCTACAATTCCCTCAACCAAACCAAAAGAAAAGATAGTTAAACCCTAAATAAGTAAGTCTCCGACTTAGGAACACCCCATGTCGCGAACCGTCATAGGTGAACTGTATAAGACTCACTTTATCAGATTACTCTGGGTCACATACTTCACTTGAAGTTCCTATTTCATCAATTTTATTTCCCCAGAAAATTTTTGCAAAAATTAAGTGAAATGGCAGTCTTGATATAAGAAGAAAAAGTTTATGCCATTTAAGAATTTCAGAGAATTTGTCATAAAAACAAATTTTTAAAAAATTGGTTATGATTGTTTAAATTAAAATTGCAATGGAAAATTAATTTTGAAATGAATAATTATCAATCAAATATTTAAATTCTTAAATTAGCATATTCAATACATTTTAACTCAAAATATTTAATACTTTAAAAATATGAGCAACATATGAAATACAGCTACAGATTAAAAAGTCACAGAAACAGATTCCTTTTACTCAGAGTGTCATGCATACAAACAGATTCCTTTTACCCAGAATGTCATGCTTAATATATATTAATTTTTAAAGAGTTTAAAAATAAAATCACAAATGACGGCATGAATTTTTTCCCTATAGTTTTAATCCTGTGCTTCATTTATTTTATACCAAGTATGCTTTATTACTGCTCAAGTAATTACACTAATTAAGTCATCAGCTTAATTTTCTTTGAAGTAATCTCATTTTACAAATGGTTAGAAAAAAATACTAAGCCTGAGATATGGCTATCAGGTAGCTCCACGTGAAGCGTTATCACACCTGCTCATGTGTGTTGTGTGAGTGGGACAAGGAGGAAGGGGATTTCTTTCTTTTATTTTTCACTTGACAACTCTACCAGGTAAGAGTAATTAAATAATTTAGTCATAATTATCACATTAGAAGGTCACATACTCCATTCTCAGCTCTGTACTAGATTAAAAACCTATCCATTTATACAGATATCAAAGACTCTATGCATCCAGCATAATAATGTAACCTGACATTTAAAATAATTTCTATCTATGGCCAGCAGTTTCTTCTCTGCTGAATTACTGCCAGTCCCTATTGTGGAGGAATAATAGAACCATACAATGTTAAGCTTGAGAGGCACACTATTAATAATGGTATAATTCCTACTTTTTAGAGATGAAGAAAGTACAAAAATGGAGTTAAATGGAATTAAGTCATAAAATAGTTAATGAAAGAGTCCAGAGTGTACACAGCCATTTATTTGTTAGTTTTTCTCAGAGTTCTTCCCTAAGGAAGCTCCTGTACTCAGATATGTGGGTTCAAAATGAGGTCCAATGGCCAGGCCTGGCTAAGTACCTCAAGGCACCATTCCAAAAAAAGTATATTAAAACTGAAAAATTGTAAAGTAATGATGAGGAAAGGGAAGCCACTTAGAAGTCACTATACTAACAACAAGAAGAAACTTGAAATAGCCTCACAGTGACTAAAGATATCAATTATAAATGCAGAGTACATATTCATTGTGGTGAATAAAACTTGAAATTAGAAGTGAAATATAGAATAAATAAATATATATAAATATATATATAAATAAATTAATGGACATATAATGGAAATATAGCATAAATATAAATGTATATATATATAAATTAATGGACAACTCCAAAGTTGCCTTTCTAAACTGCCTCCCTCAGAACTAATCTTATGACTTCCCTCTAGGAATGGCCAAAGCAGCATTGCTTTCATTGCCTTTCTTTTTTTTTTTAATTTACTACAATTATCTCTCCACCTTCTACCATTTCCCCACAGCCCAAGTACATACATGCACCTCTCTCTAGGTCTCTCCACACCACCACCACCACAAACAGTGTGGGGTATAAAGTTAAAATGTATAGCAGATTTATGTTTGGTCAACTTTGCCAGGCTGAAAAGATATTTCCTTTCATAGTCCCAGACAAGTGACAATGTGCATGGGATTTAAAAGATGAAAAAGAAGAAGCATCAAAAATATTTCTATGCTCAGAAAGTCCATATAAAGTCCCAGGGGCCACTGCAGGCTCTGACACAGTGGTGCGCAGTGCTGGTGAGAGACAGCAGTGTGCCCACAACTTCTCCAGCTCCTGCTGATCTCCATGCGGCTTCAATATGTAGGGAGACTGATCCATGAGGGGTAATTCAGCTCATCCTCCTGGGTTTCAGCAACCCTCCATGGTTCTGCTGTCCCTTGGGTCCCCTCTTAACATCTGTCTTTCCATCTCAATTGCCTTTCTGTTGGATTTGGGGTATTAGCTCCAGATACAGAAGCATGAACTGATTCAGCTGCTCCCTCAACTGCTCTAGAGATTTTGCTCCTCAGGCTGCTGGAACCCTAACTCATGCAGACTCTGATGGTGAAAGTGGACGAAGAACCCTTAGGATTGTATCTCTGTTTTGTTTCTGTTTATCTGAAATTGGTTCTGTAAGGGTTGGATTTAAAGTATTAAAAATCATATATCGAGGAGCTAAGGGGGCACTGATAGTTCATGACCTGCAGTGGTAAAAGTTACTTATCTGTACCAACTTCCATGGTAAAGAAAAACTTGCTGCATTGCCCTTCTTAGCACTAAATATATCATTCTGACATACTATGAGGTGTGATTTTTTTTTAAAAACCTACACTGAATGTTTACATTTTTTAAAAATTATTACAATACAGCCGAGGATTTAGCTCAGTGGTTCTGCAGCCTGCCTCCCAAGCACAAGGTCCAGAGTTCGATCCCCAGTACCAAAAAAAAAAATTATTACAATAAAAGACATTGTCATTAATCCTCTCAAAACACTCCCTCTATCTTCCAACACATTTATTCCATCATTCTTGCCACTTTCTGGAGCAGTTTACATTGATGGTAATTTCTGTCAAATAAAAACAATACAATGTGTCTTCACCAACCCTATTCACCAGATCTAGCATTGTGCAACTTTTGGCTCTTCCCCAGAGTCAAAATGGCCATGAAAGGTAAATGTTTGAATAGACGAATAGTTGATTAAGTCATGAGTGTGGAGTATTCATGAATGGGATTAGTGACCTTCTAAGGGGTACAAGGGGGTTTTTATCTCTTCTACCCCTTCCATCTTAGCCCTCTAGACCCACCAAAGGATGTAGCTAGAAGGCACCATCCTGGAAGTAGAAAGCAACCCTCACCAAAAACCAAATCTCCACTGTCTTGATCTTGGACTTCTCAGCCTTCAAAACTGTGAGAAATAAATTTCTATTATTCTATTATCAGTCTAAGGTATTTTATTATAGCAATAGGAACAGACTAAGACACCAATGGTGCCTGAATTACTCGTGGTAGCTTGGGAAGCTGTAACAAGACAGTAGCAGGCACAGAGAGTTGATTTATAACACAAAACCTTAGGATTTTGCAGCCAATCTGTGTTATCCTCTGCAGATAATCATGCTCCTTTTGGGAAAGACTTGTCTTGCTATTCAGCCTCAGTAGAGTCTGAATACTTGACCATGAACCATCAGGTGATGATGTGGTCTCAAAGGTCCCTCATGGATTAGGTGTTGGTTGATCCACCAAAGCAAAGGTTTCAACATCAAATATACATATAAGATCTGGCTCAAGCAGGTCCTAAAGGCACAAATAGGTGGACAGATGACCATGCATCATATTCCTACCACAATGTTCCCATTCTCTAAATATATACCTATGGCCTCACAGGGATTTTCCTTTGACCGGCTAAGAATGAAAGTAGTTCTGGCACTGTTTATAGATGATATTTCACTGAATACTGGCATTACCTGCAACTGGATAATTGCAGCACTGCAAATCCAATCCAGAGGGGCCCTGAAGGACAAAAGTAAAGGAAAATTCTCCCAGTTAACAGAACTTTAATCAATCCTCCAAAAAAAACTTGAGACTGGTTGCTCATTTTTCTTGGAATGAGAGATGGCTCCAGAAATAGATCTCCATTGATCCTGGGCGATAACTAGTAATAGAACCAAATGGTCAAGGAATTGGAAGGGCCATGATTAGAAAACTGGTGGCACAGAGGTCTGGAGAAGATGTAGGTATACAGGCATGTCAGGATGTGATTTGATGTGAAGATATTTAGATACCATTTGAACATTCACCAAAAAGCAAGCTCAGGAGAAGAGGAACTCTATGATGCAACTTGTGGACATCACTTAATGTTTCCTTAGCCATGACTGGCCTTGACCAATAAGCTCACAATTTATCACAGCAGCAAAGAAACCTATGTTCATGGGCTCAGTAACATAGATTAGTACTCATGAAAACTGATCTGGCCATAGCCACTACTACACTGCTGAATACTCAAACTGCCAACAGTGAGACCAACACCAATATAGCACCATTCCCCAGGGAAATCAGCCAATCACCATGCTGGTGGCAGGGTGACACAAAACCACCTTCA